AAGATTCACAAAGGACAATTTTTGAAGAAGTTAAGCCATCCTGGAAGTGATACACACCGAGAATGTTCTCTAGTGTACATTGATTTTCTGGATAAACTGATCAAGTTCTTGTTTCTTTCTTCATGCTAAAAGCTGAAAACCATCTCCTTCAATTGTTTCTCGGGGTTTCCTCAACAGCGGCAGTTAGATCTCCTTTTCGTTATTAGCATCCGTTCTCCGGATGAAACATGAGAATTAATATTCCAAAACTGACTGGCACCTTAGGCGGATCCAGAGGTCTTTCGTTACCTCTGATTATGACACAGGCACCAGTGCTGCAAAAACCGGGGCCTTAAAGCTAAAACTGAAGAAAACTAAAACCTAAAGTAACTCTGAGTAGCAGTATTACTGATTCTGTTCCTAGTTTTTGCATAATTCCAGGGTGGAAGGTGACTCTTCTACTCACCCTCGTCGCCCCTCCACCTCGAGGAGCCCCAAATCACCCCGACCTCAGTCACTTATTGCTTAAAAATAAGTGACTGAAACCTTATTGCTTAAAAATAAATCCTCCTCCCAACTTTCTTTTATCTACACATCACTTTCTCGTCTTCCCTGTTTTCTCATAACTCTATTCTTATGCTCTAATAACGCATACTCATCATGTGTAAGGCCGGTAGGAGGCTGTACTGATGATTCTTACTTTTACCCTATGCTAGATTCGATTTTTGTTTACAGCTAAGGAATGAAACATTGACTGCATCCAAAGATGTCTTCTTGCATGCGTTACTTCATCTGATCCCTTAAGCTCCTATCCGTGGAAACTGTGAGTGAATTTTGCTGTTGCTGCATCAGCTAGTGCTCAGTCTGCTTCCGATCATCTTGTCCTTCGTTTATTTCTTTCCTTCAAATGCAAAACATGTCCTTTCGTCGCTTCTTCTGCGGTCATTCAGCTGTGCAGGCCACAGGCAGATCTACGACGGACTCCTGAGGAAGGGGGGAGAGTGACTGAGGTCGGGGTGACTGGGGTGAGGCTCCTCGGGGTGGAGAGGA